ACCGCACAAGGCACAATGTCTCCTGCAGATGCACGATGTTCCTCACTGTGGCAGGTTCAGGACTTGAAACACTGCCCACAAAAGATTGTCTCAGACTGCAAAGGGCCAAAACAGTCCCTCACACATCCTGCAAATCTCCTGAGGCTTAGAGGCCACAATAATCTTTGTACAGAAACATTTCTACAAAAAGGGGAAATGGAAATAAGAATGGTCTGCCAAGTCCATTGGTTCCTTTAAGGAAGCCATTGCTTCTCCCTTTTTGAATCACATGCCACAATCGTAAATCTTTGGGTAAGCTAAGTGTTTGTCCAAACTGTGTAAGGATTACATTTTGATGAAGAGTTATCCACTGGGATGCCAGTTTTCAACACAGAGAAAAATTCTCTTCCTCTGAGATCAAAATTTTAGAAACAACACCTACACTAGGAACCTTCCAAAAGTTTAAACTTTCTTTTTTTTTGTGTTCATGGACCCATATAAGTCCACTTAAACACTGTAAATATGATGGCCTGCCTGTCTTCCATTGTGCCTCTGTTGATAGTTGGGAGTTACCCTTTTTGTTATTCTTCAGCATCTGTCACTGTGCTAGATTAGAATCCTTCTCCAAAAACGCTATTTTTAATCACATTTTCCTCTTGTGTCCTCTAGGCAGTCTCAAGGCCTTGTCTCTTACCAGAGATCATTAATATTTTGCTCTATCAGACTGAATTTCCCAAGTTTCCTGCCACTYTTGTCACTGACTCAGTTGTGTTCTATTTCTGTTGCTGAGAGTGGAACATTCTGGGCTTTTTTAACATTTTATATTCCAATTCTTCCCAAAGAAGTCTTAGCAAATACATCTTCTACCCTGGATGGAACTTTTACTGATGGCAGAACTGTATCAGAAGTAGGATGAAATTTTGTGGGGAAATCATTGGTACAGTCCCAGGCTGCATTGGGGATAGCCTCAAACAAATGGCACTGTACAAAAACATGCATAGCGTGGAGCTGTAAATATCCCACCCTCTTTGTTTCTCTCTAAAGAGAAAAGAGGGAACAGCTCTGTCCCCACACAGAGAAGGTAAGTACTGCATCTTTAAGGTCTCAGCAGTGAGGTAGAGGAGAGGAACATATTGTCAGTGTTTATACCTTTCTTCTTTGTTGAATTTGGGATTGGCTTCAGAGATATCCAGGCTTTTACTGAACATTGTTTTACTATGGCAGGAACAAAGCGAGAAAACACAGTTACTAGTGTGGACATTTTTATAAAAGAGAGTCACCTGTAGCAATGCTGGTCACCCAGTCCCCCCAACCCATCCTCCCCTTCTTAAGCAAAGCTCTGAAAAACCTTTCTTTTACTTTACAGTCATGGCTCATGCCCACACAGTGCTCAAGTTCATTATCTTCCCCTGACTTCCAAAGCCTAAGATGACTTCCCCCATGCACACTTGTAAACCTTGCTCTCCTTTATCCAATTTAAAACCCAGGTACCATCTACTTCGTCACACTGTCCAGGGAAAACAGAACATGCCTGAAGGCAAAGTATTCATTACTCATGACTTTTCTAGAAGACCTCAGCACTAAGCACACTCTTGGAAAAGGTTAAAATCAGACCACAGAGCCTCTTAGAGGAACAGTAATCCATTTTATATTCTAATTTGTAGGGTCCATTACCACTTCAACTCCCAACGCTCTTTCCTATACTCAGTGTATAGAGAAATGCCCTTCTTTTTCATCTTGGGTCTGAATCAGTGCAGCACAGAAGTGAAATTCCCTGTGCTTTGCTAAAAGGGCAGCTCTCTGTGATATATTTCACTGGTAATATGCTTCACTGTTTCACAGAATACTGCTTCCTAATGTTAGCTGATCTCTCATGCAAACTCTCCACTTCAAAAACTAGAAGAAAATGAATAGTTAATGAAGCCCATTTTAGAATGATTTTTGGACTCTCACAGCAAAGCTACTGAAAATTTCTGGCATATCCCCACCGGATTCAAGCTCCCATGGAATTCTTCCTAGTCTGTGTGATTTTAGCACAAGGGACAAATTAGCTGATGTTAAACTAAGCTCAGAACCTGCTTTTTTTCTTTTGACATTTCAATGAAATACCAGATAGTCTGAGAGGTGGGGGTACCAGAACAGCAGAAATAATTAAGATATAATCATGAACCCGTTTAGTTGACAACTAGCACGGAAAAACCCAAGAATTAAAAAACCTAAGTTACCAGTTTCAGAGTGGCTAGAGTTTGTGCATACCAACTTTGCCATTTACAAAGATCCACTGGAGAATACTTGGAAAGGCTGGTACAAGCATTTCAAGGTGCCTGTAAGCTACACAAGCAGCCTTTGTGCCAAGTTTCCCTTGTCATTATTCAAAACCAAGTCACTCAAGGACTATGTTTTTCACTTAATACTTTCTTAGCCTGTAGGGTTGGAGGCTGCCAACTTTCAAATTTCAGTGGAAAGATATGCCCTAAACAAGCCAAGACCAGACACTTTCAGGCCCCCCCCCCCCCGAAAAGCACAGTTCATGATAAGACACATAAACCTGAGGTTCTAACATAAATCCTCTTTATGCAAGCAAACATCTGTTTACTACTGCGAAAGAGGGCAGTAGGAATAAATCACAAGACACTTGCACGTGTTTTGCCCATTGGTTAGCAGTGTATGTTTGCCAGCTGAAGAGAGAAGCAATGGCACTGTGTCTCCAAATGTTTACCCAAGTCATCTGTGTCTAAACAGGAGACCTGTTTCCATGGTCCATCTTCCTGGTATTGTAGGGTAAAAGCACTGAACAGTCATCTCTTGATACCAAAGAAAATGTCATTCTTAAAAAAGCATCCGCCTTGGGGATCTAAACCCTWCTGCTGTAAAATCCCCTGTCAGCAGGTCATTTCATGGAATATAATATGCAACTAGCCATTAAAAATCCCCATTCTTGGTGGAAGGCACTTGTCACTTTGTTACTGACTGTTCTGACAGATGGTGCCCCATCAGCAATGCATCGTCCCCCGACACTCCCCATGCAGTGGGGTTCGTTAATGAAGCCAGTTCGTGTTATAAACGACTGTGCTGCCAGCAACACAAAATGTGCTGCTGTCATCTCTGGATGTGGATGGGATGAATTATGGAAGCTCACACGTGGAGTAAAATAACATCTTCCCTTTAACCCCTTCGAAAACAAGCACTACCATGCCCATCATCATCAATCATGGTGTTATTACATCCCTTTCTCCACCCTTAATCACACTTTTATGTCCACTCCTGACTTGTGGTATGCATTGTCCCATATCTCTTTTGTGCCTGCAGGCTTTGCTTCCTCCTTAAGCCAAAGCCCTTCTTTACTGATATGCAGCCTGGATATATCTTTGCTCTGAACTCATCCYAGACCTTTTGACTTCAACTGTTTCCTCAGGGGCAGAATTGAGTGAGACATTTAAAAGCAAAAGAAATATTTTGGATAGCAAGACACAGCTTTGCCTCTTCAGGCTTCTGAATCCAGAGTCGAAGTTCAGAGCAGGAAGAAAAGGTTTCAGCTCCCAGAAAACACCGTGATCAATTTAACACATCCTGATTTTTCTGTCCAGTTGGACACTCCCTGTAAAGGAGCCTTGGGGTGGGAGAAAGTGATTTGCCTCTGCCTGGCTCTGGGACCCTCATATCCCAGACAGMAGAGTAAACACTGCAGGTGAAACAAGGAGTCAATGTTGTCTTCATCCTTACCCTTTTGAGGTCTGTGAGAAACACTGAACACACCTTGTCCTGAATACTTCCTACTGCCAGACCTCACACCAAAAGAAATCACATTATTGAGACAACCTACACTAGGACAAAGTTGGCAGATTTCCAACCTACACTAGGACAAAGAGACTTTATGGCAGTCTCAAGGCCACACATCCAGTCTGAAGTAAGTCCTAGCAGATTCTGGAAATCACCACTCTTTTCTTCAGTGCAAATAGAACTGTAACAATCGCCAGAAAAGTTTCCAGCAATGCTAGGGGCCTCTGCAATATCTATGAAATTATTTCATGTTCTTCACCCAGTTCTCAGTCAGCAAAGGGAGCTTCTGGGCACAGCAGGCTTTTTTTGAACAGATCTTAAGAGCTGAACAAATAAAATATGTCAAAGCTAAAACAGAAGTCACAGCATCATCATCATCATCCATATAGGGAAAGTGTTCTTTCATATTGATTGATTTATGCAAGTGTGAAACCAAATGCATGTGCTCCCCTCAGGCTAGTCACAGGGACTGAGGAAGCAACTTCCATAGTTCACACAAGTGAATTTCCACAGTTCACTTACTCTCCCAGAACTTGCCTTGAGGAGACACCATTTTCCTCTGCTGTTTCTCCACAAGAATAACACTTTCTTTGATAGAAAAGAGGCAAATTACACATATTCCATCACTTTACAAGCATGTGGTGATTTATGTGGGTCAGCATGCTGGCTCTGACAATACATTTTGGAGGCATCTACAGATGCCTGGACAGGGCTTTTCAGATTCAAGTTATTTTAATGAGATGGAGCATGGTGCTCATCTCATTTAACTCCAGGTGCCCAGAAGCTAGGAACCTAATCCAAGATAGTCACTTAGATTCCTGTTGTAGGSTCTGGAGACAGAGTACAAGCAGAGGGTAATTTATCCTGTTTCACAGGATACATGTATTTGAGACCTCCCAAAGCCCTCATGTGTCCCCACTGCCCAGTCAGCCTGTATTGCAAGCTTAGACTGCATGCCCATGTCCTCAACAATTAAAAAGAGGTGAGATGAGTTTTGCCCAGAGGACATGGCAGTTTCCTGAGKAATAGCTGCAAGCCAACAGAACCCTTAAGCCCCCGGCAGGACTTCTGGTCCTGTGTGCACAAGCACTGCTGGCTGCCACATCATGTTGCAAATGTGATTGGAAGTTGTAATGGGTGCTGGTGCAAACAGAAAAGCTCCACAGCTCCTTTGTGTGTGTACCAYAAACGGGGGGAGCAGGCCCAGGCAGGCAGGACTCCTGGGTGAAGCAGAGACCCACCTCTGTCCATGTTGTGCCATTTCAATAGCTCTGCGAGCAGGAACTGGGGATCCGCCATCTGTCACACTGAGAACCTCCATCGACTTCCTCTCCGGCCGCCGCTTCCCATGCCTGTTCAGCATTGGGGAGTCCACACGCTTCCTGGGGGGATCTTTATGGAAAGAAAACACTGTCAGCTGAATTCAGTTGTGACTTACCTCACACAGGCTGGTTAAATCCTCTCTCAACAATCTCACTCTCACACTTCCCCTCACAGAGACGGATCTCTTCATGATGGAGGAGAACATTTGCAGTCTCTCCCTTCTTCCAAATTTGCAATCCATCTACAGAGAGAAGGAGCCCTGCAACTGCCCTGAAGGTATTATGAGCACTGTAAAATAAAGGTACAACTATACCATAGCTTGCAGAAATTAGCTTACAAGGCTGATAACAGTAATAACAAGATGATACAAGATGACAGCATGGGCTATAGCACAAGCTGTTAGGCAGAGCRTAAGCCATCTAGGGACCCTGTGTATGTACTCAGGTTGCTAGAGCTTGCCTTCCCTGTCCCTGCCAGCTAGATTAAATGTGACACAGGGACATGAGTACACTYGAAACTCCGAATTGCATTCTGCTCTGAAAACAAACCCTTTTTCTGCATCGTTAAGATTAGATTTCAGGTTTTTCCCACTGATTCATACTTTTCCTATTTCACCATTACAAATTAAACATGTTTGTCTACCTGAGATGAATCTTCAATGAGAGCCACACCATGCAGCTTTTACTACTATAGTAAATGAAATCCTTTATGTTTTTTATTGTGTAACAATTCTATGAGGTATCAAAGTGCGATTTTAGCTTTGCAGAGTGAAAACTGGGGTATAAGGATGAGAGATTTAAAGGCAATTCATTCCTGAAGACGTTTGCAAACATTCAGTGAGGTTCTGAGGAGCACTTAAATTGTTCTGAAAAAAGTCTTCAGATAGCAAAATGCATTGCAGAAAGYGACTTGCCAAACCATACAGACCTCCATGGTGAAGTGGGAAACCAAATGCACACCTGCTGAAATGTTTTTATTGCTAACACATCTCATGGCATCAAAACAGTATAAAGGAGTAAGGCAGAAAAAAATACAGAAGGATTTTATTTTCTTTGGTTGGACTATTTCGGTTCCCTGCCTCTATAGATACATTTTTAATTTTAGAGGAGAGTGACCACTTGTCAAAGAAGGTATCCTTCACCCCTGCAGTTAGAAAGAAGCTCACAGTGTCCAGTTTCTAAGGCTTCTTCTGCCAGTATTYCTTTGTAAAACCAGAAATACCACTTGACAATTCTACCTCTACCTCTACTGCCTGGTCTTTATTATCCTGCCCTCCTCACAACCACCATGTGCTCATTTCTTCTCTCTAACTTAATGTTTTTTTAGAACAAGATCTCTTTTAGGCACAGCTTATCCTTGAAACAATGAGCATAAGCAAAGATGGTTCAATGCAAATGGATAAGGGATAACAACTGACCCCATTACAGTATAGTCCAAGCATTCTTTGTGTTAGCAGTAATAATGCTCCTGGTAAAAATTAATTAGAAAAAAAAGTGCAGTTGTATCTCAGTCCATTTCAAACTCTGTCCAGCAGTAAAAAGATAGCAGAAAGTGGTAGGGATAATGACCTCCAGATAGGAAAAATAAAGAGTGCATAAAGCTGATGGAAAAACAAAGGGAGATAAACCAAATAAAGCATTTATACTGTGTGACTTCAGCTGCATATGWGTAAGTGGTCAAAAATAAGCTGGGACAAGATTTAGATATTTCAAACTTCTGCTTCTTCATGCAAGTTCAAAATATGAGAAAGAATTCATGCTACAGAAAAACTGCTGGTTCAGGAGTATATCTACAGCAGAGTAACGCATAGAAATGATGTTCAGGTATATGTAACACAAAATTGATACAAGTTTTGCAACAGGACATCAGACAAAAAGGAAAAGTTTAAAAGAAAGGARGAAGAAGGAAGGTGAAGAAAGCATCAAATGTCAAAAGAATGGAGATGAATAAGCTGAAACAATAGAAGCTAAACAAGAAGGATGAAAAAAGACAAGAAAAATATTTTATGAACAGGTATTTTAAAAGTCAATTTGATCCACGCATGTTCAAAACAGAAATGGAAATCCAGCCAAGTAACATTTACAAAAGTGACAGGCCAAACAGAAGGTGGATTTCAGAAGCCAGTGAAGAAGAAATTTTAAGAGGAATTAGATAAAAACTTGAATGACAGTGTTTTGTACAGCCATCAGAAAGAGAAAACTTGAGAGAAAGATATTAGCCAGAGGCATCATGAGGAAATCAACAGAACAATTGAAGAGGAGAAGGATATTGCCAACAACTTAAATGATTATTTTATATATTATATATTATTATATATATATTTATATTATATATATATATATATATATATAATATATATATTATTATATATATTATTATATATATTATTTTGCTGCTTAAGATGCTGGAAAATACTGATTTCTAATCTATATTTTAAACTATCAAAGACAGAGTAAGGAAAAAGAGCAGCTGGTGAAACACACCTATAAATTCAGGATGCGCAATTCACAAAAGTTGCACAGAAAATACATCCAAAGCTTGCATGAATGTGACAGCTTCTAATAAAGGCATTGGATGCCTATTTAAAATTGGCTACAATCCTACACTATCCATGGCTGAGAGTWGCAAGTATTGTACATACTTTTCAGAAGGGTTTGATTAAGGAATGACAGGGCACCATCCCTGTCAAGCCTAAAGATACTAAAGAAATAGTTAAATACATACCCATCCTGCCATAATGACTAAAGTGGTGTCATACAAAAGCTGTAAAAGATTTTGCAGAAGCACAGGAATTAAAAATAGGAAAAACTGCAATATTTGACCTTTTCTTCTTAACTCTGTGGACATGGTAGAAAAAAATCAAGTTGTAGAYCTCTGACAGTATTAAAGATGGATTTTCCTTTTATAAGAAAAGCAAAGTTATTCCTAAGCATTTTAAACATAAGAAGATAGAATCATACAGGTAATGATGCAATTATAAGTCTACCTTCTCATGGGAAATAAAGGTTCATCTTCTGAGTTTGGATGAGGCATCTATATATATAATATATCTCTGTTTTGGCCCAACCTCTTGTTCTCTGATTTATTAAGAAACTTCACCCCACAAAAGCCTTTTTCTCAAGGAGATATTAGTTGATATTCTATAATTTTACTGAGAATTTTCTCATTCTTGTGTTTTCAAGTAAAGAAAATGGAACTGCATGTGAAAGATATTGGAGGTGGCCTTTCCTTGGCCCTTTGAAGAAACGTCATAGAGCTGAAACAGACAAAATGGACACCAGAAGAAAGGACAAGCTGTAGCTGGCCCTATTTCTACCTGCATCCCTATTTTCTGAGACTTAATATGCCAACAAAAAGGAAAAAGCAAAATACTCTCAGATGCTTTTTTCTTTTTTTTTTTTGGCAAGAGCTCAGAAAATGCACTACTCTCATGAACATGGTTTCTTCAAGCTGCTGTTATTAAACTGTTACTTTCTCTCTGCTTTTCTTTGTTTGTGCAAGGCCATTGCTAATGGCTAATGATGAGATATTCATCAGACACATGACTGCTCCTAATTAAACCTTGCCCCATGTTCTCAGAAATACCGCTGGGAACAGAGGACGTGGAAACSCCCTGTGGAAGAGGAAATACAACACACAAACACTCAAAGAATAATGCTCAAACATGCCGGTAAGGCACATAGAGTCACTGTTTCCCCACTAGAAAACATTTTCACTCCTTGTACAAAAAAATAACAAGAGTGGAGCATAGTATTTCAGTACAAACCATGAAAATACTTTGTCATGTGGAAGAGATATATGATGAATTTAGGGCATAGCTGTGTATTCACTTAYATGTTGGTATTGAAGATTCTAGAGTCACCTTGTTTCTTTTCTTAAGACAAAAGCATTTCTAAAACAAGATGATGCTGTCCTTACATGGCAGKATAATCTGTTTGAGTCAAAAGCTGATTAGCAAAGTGCTAGATGACAAACTGCACTGAGCAAGGGGCTTTTGACCACAGGACCTGCAGCTGGCACACCTACCCATCTTCAGGATCCCTGCTAACATGCTCTCTGTAAATTCATCCAGGCAGAAGTTTAAAAATTGCCGTGTTAACTAAGAATTTTCACCTCTTCTCTCACAAAGGAGATTTCCCTGCAAAATCATAGGGCCTGGAGCCTGGAACTTGGATAAGTTTATAATTCAGTGAAGCATTAACAAATGCAGTGCAATATAGCACTGCCCTGAAAGCTTATGAGATTCCAGATTTTCCAGTGAAAATAAAAGGCATTTTGCTTCTAGTCTTCAAAGTGCTGAATACCTGAAAAACACCACACTTCTATGACAAATTCTGTTTCAGATCATTGCTAGAAGTGACTAATCCTTTATTAAACTTTTGTCACTGCATGCCAAGAGTCACTTATATAGCTGGCTCCTTGGGAAGCAGTTTTCCTGTTGTCTGGATTAGTGGTAATCAGCAGCACCCTAAAATACCAATGAATAACTARGAATAAAATGGTATCACAAGAGCTTTGTAAGATATATAATCTTATTGCGCCTTAAGCTTTTGAAATCTTTCTAAGTCTAAAAACATGTGAGTTTGATTTATGTACTACAAATAGCTAAGTTACATGATTCATATTTTCAGCAGTGTATGTATTCACTTACAGAAAAGAGAATGTGTACATCTATAACTGCAGAAGGATGCAGCTATGCAGCTTCTTACTAACTGAAGTCCATGAGCAGCTTCTCTGCAACACCGCACGGAGAGAAACTAGTTCATTGTTACTAGAAAATTCTGCCACTAGATTATACTGTTTCTAAACCTGCATAGAACCAGCTTGTGGGTTCACAGCACATTTTTTAAGATCTCATTCAAACCCTACTTGGATGTTCCTGCACTGTGAGACAGACATGTCTTGAAAAGTGAAGCCTTCAAGCTAAACCACGGAACAGACCTGCCTGCCCCAGGCTGAGGATTCTCACCACTGCTGTGTATACCATTTCAGTGGGAAGGTAACAATGATGCTAGGGTTTGGATTTAAATTAAATGTAAAAAGAAAAAAAAAGGTGAATAGGAACCAGTTCAGATGGGTTCATGGTGACTGAGTTCATATCTGTAGTACCTATTTCATTTCTAGGGGGAAGATCCTCATCTTCATGACTAGGATACCTCTCCTTCCGGTCAAGCAGAAGAAAATAAATCATTTTTTCTTGGTTTTCTCTGGAAAAAAAAAAAAAGAAATATTTAAAAAAAAAAAAAAAAAGAAATATTTACATTTGGAAAGAAGAAAAGATGATGATGCAGACAAACCCTTCTCATCAAACAAACAGTTACAGTTATTCTAAACAAGCTGGAAGAGGTCATGTACATGACAGCTAGACACACAACCCACAAGGCTTTTGAGACCCTTGCTGTCTCCAACTAGCAGCTAGAGAGGAAAGGAAACAGGATTCCCATATTATATACACAGAACAGAGGCACAGAACAGTCAAGGTAATGTGTCCCWAGGAAGTCCAAACCAAGAATAGCAGCCAGACAGGTCTCCTGAGCTTCTAAGTGCTCTTTCTACTACGTGTCCCTCTTAACATCTCAGGAGATACACCAGCTCTTAACCATAGGCTTGAAATACATAAAAATTTGCCAACGAAGGCATATCTAACACAAATAGCAGAAATGATACCTCCCATGTGAACTGTATAGTGTAAAACTCTTCATGTTTTAATGAAGTGACCTTAATGGCAGCTAGGGAAGAAATTGCACCATGCCTCCATKGCTGGTCAGGCTGTGAGCTTCTGACCCATGGATTAAGAAAGGCTCAGTGCTTGCTCCCAGCACCTCACAAGCAAATGAGCAGCCAAAAGGTGAGAAGTTCTTACCAGTCACTCAGAGAGAGAGACATCAGTTAAAGATCTCTCTACCTCTCCCCAGGTTCATAAATATCCCAGCCCCAGGACACCAAACTGTTATGAAGACTGAGCAAGTGCTTACTCTTCCGACAACAAGTCCTGTAAGAGTTTATTTCGGTCACGGAAGCAGCCTAACGAGTGCATGCTATCTAACACGTCTGGATCAATATCCTCCAAGGAAGGGAGAGAACGAATCTGCACCTTTCGAGGGATTGGTTGCTCTGGTTCTGGCTCATTCTTACCCCCTCTGCAGAGGAAAGAAGATGAGAGAGAGAAAGGGGGAGGGAAAGGAGAGAAAAGAAACATGAGTCACAAATGAACCCATACTCTGAAACACAGCCTGCAGCAACAGATGGAAATAGCTTACTAGATTCCCACTGTGAGACCAGAGCTTCCAAGCAGATAGATATTCTTTTCATAAGAAACTGTCATGAAGGTTAAGATTGACCAGCAGGCTGTGTATTTGGGTCTTYAATGAGAAATGCCTGTGTTCAGTTAGAAAGGCGATAGGAACTTCACTTACCAGTGCCCTTGGAATAGAAGCAGCTGTTCAGCATCCTAATGCCTAACATTTATAAAACACTACGTGTTTTTAAAGATGTTGTCTCATCAGCTGGCCAGACCTCAGACTATGAGGCTTGAAAGTGCAAGCTTCTCTTTCGAAGAAGGAGCTCTGAACAAACCATCACTATTTTTTACCAATTCTGATTACAACCAGCACTGCAGCAGTTTCTTTTGTTAATGCTTCCAATGTGACTTAAGAGACCTCAGTGCTCAGGTCCTACTTGATACACTCTAAAGAGTTTAGGGGGAAACCAGGCAGCTTAATTACATGCCCAAACATGACAATCTCTGCTTCTCTTAAGACATGCAAATTTGAAAATTTTGGCTCAAGTGCAGCGCCTGAGGTCAATGGCAGACCTCCGAACACACCATTACCAGTAGAACATATTGCTCTTTCAAATGTAGTTAACACAGGCTTTCTGCATAATTGTCTTATCCCATTCACCAGGCTCAGGAAATATTGATTATTAATTGCAATTAAAGGCCCTGACTGTAAGAAACAGGTTAAGGTRTCAGGGTATTTATGACTGACTAATCATATATATCACAGACATCCTGAATATCCTTTGTTTTTATTTTAGTAGGCAGTGAGCAATTCATGGAAACTATCCCACCGAGATAGGACGGTTTGGTGGTGGTGCCGGTGTTTTGGTTGGAAAAGCTGGCTGAATCTCTGAATCTCTGCTATTTCTCAATGGATGCTTTGTGCAATGTTGAAGTTTCCCTGCTCTGTCAGTGATATCCTCCCTTTCCTTCATGTGATACAARTGTGTGACTGTTGGATCCAGGCTCCCAGCATGGGTAACAGAAATCAGGAATATTTAAACTGCATCAGGTATCACTATTTGCTGTTTATGGGGCTGTGTTTGGACTAGAGATCCTTCTTTTTGATGCTGGAAGAAATAAGGTGGCCACAACTCATGAAGTTACTTGCACAGCTTAAAAAGTTCCTGATCAGATGTAAGCTATCCAAGTATCTACACAGAAAAAGGTTTTCCAATTCAACCATCCTTAATTTTTCTTGTGTAAGTTATAAATCAGCTCAGGTAGGATCATATATATGAGCTCAGGGTCTCAGCCAGTGTACCAAAARGAGAGTCAGTGCACCATAAAAAGAGCCAATGCAGATTATATCCTTAAAAGTAAGAATGAAATACTAAGTCAGTGGATCCAGGATAGGACAGTTACATGCTGGGACAATCACAGGAGATTGCTGAGTGCTACTTGCAATTTATTTTTAAGTAAGTTGAAATGCAGTGGCATCTCYTCTCTTAACTGTTTAATGGGACATCACTTGCAAAAAAACTCCTTGGAAATTTATCTTCTGTTGAAGCAATAAAAATGTGCTCAGCTCTACCTGGATACATGCCATGGAGTGTGATTCTGGTATTTATTATATTGGTCATGACAACATGGGTCAGATCCTACTTCTCTTGCAAGGAGCACTCAGACAATCAATTTTATTCAATTTAGGGGACTGGAAATAAACATATGAGATAGAGAATCTGCTCTTTGGGATTCATTCTTCTGTGTCAAAACACTAAAACACAGTTTCTGAAGCCTCCTTTGAGTCTTGCAGAATGTCTGTCTTCTGCAATGCCACTGAATCTAAGGGCTGTTGTCCTGAATCTAAGGGCCTAACTCAAAAATCCTTGTTCAACTAAAGAAACATTCCTTCTAAGAGGTCTCTACTGACACTTCTTAGGATAAAGATCTAGCTCTCAGCATGTAATAASCAATGATCAGTTCATAACCTTGCACTATTAAAGCCATTGATGACCTTGTCATTAAGACAAATTCTTGCAGGATAGACCTTTGAACAGCAGCTGAGTGGTTTTGCTTTTTAATGATGTACAGTTCACTTCAGAAAAGTATTGACTTAATTAATCATTCATGTTACAAGCAGAAGCCCTTAAGGTAATTTAAAGAGATTAAAAAGAATTATTGTCTTTGAAAATTTCCAGGAAAACTGGGTTTCCTACTAGTTGCTGTAGTCTGAATAGAATTTATAAGTTTCTTTTGTATCAATCAGCACCAGAGCCATTTCTAGAGAGCACAGCTTGCCACCCTCCATGCACTCCAGGGTGGCATTTCCTTACACCCTGCACCTGGTCAGCCTCAGATACAGTCAGGAATTTTCACATCTCCCCATCAGGTACAAGTAAAATCTGGAAAGAGATGTCTTGTCATTTGGCAGTGCAATTCAGTGCTTCAGGAAACGAAAATCACTGGGTCTAGGCTGTGATTGGCATGACTGCAATGCCTGTTCCATTCTCAGTCTAGCAGAGTGACAAATTTGTTGCATTGCAGCTCACAGACATCAAACAATGTCACACAGTGACTACTGCAAATCACATATACATTTTTAAAGACCCACATGAATGTAATTGCTGCTTTAAAATCCACCCTCTTTTGTGAGGATCGGTGGATATGATGGCTGTGGTTCCTGATCAGGGTGGGCCTTTTCAGTCTCTCCATGAAATTCTCTCATGGATCTCACYGAGATGCCCATTTGCATCAGTGAAAAGTGAAAAAGAACCAGTACATTTATTATTTTTCTTGTTTTASTAAGTGTGGTACCTTCACAATTAAGGCAATAACTCAAGTGTTACAGGAGTATGTATTACCATAACAGTAATTTTATTTGCACACTTACTTTATTAAAAATATGAAAATAACTGCTGTTTATTTCTGGTTTATGGTAACCTGCATTTGAGGTAAAAATAAATGGTTTCAATTAAAAAGACTTGAGAAACCTCACTGAATTAATTTGGGTGGGAGAGCAAAAACTGGAGGCTGCTGACGAAAGGTTTCACTTAGATTTCTTCTTTCCTTTTTTAGGCTTGAATCATGATTTCAACTTTTGAGACCTCTTTCTCTGCCTGCCTTAGTCCACAATTAAATATTTTCTTCAGTTTTACAGTAGCCTTGATATTTATTTGAAGAATTAAGTGAAACCGCTTTCTATGTTCTGAGTACAATTTTCAGGTCAGTAACCTATATATGACAAAGGATGAAGATTTTACATAGAACAGTAGACAAAACAAAGAAAAAAATTAAAGAGGTGAGCAAAAGAGCCATAGGATAAAACACTATAACCCCTTCTTCTCTGTCAGCATCAGTATTTCCAGGCAAAATGAATGCAAAGAGGTTGTGAAACATTTCCAGATGAAAGCAGTTGAGTTTTGGAGGTGGCAAGGTTATTCCCTGACTAAAATTAGCCACAGGAGGTTAACCTCCTGAGGTCAATCCATGGCCAGTATAGAGAAAATGAGAAAGAGACTCATTAAAAAAGCTATTTTGAGCAGAAACTTCTTTTTAGGCAATCTGAAGAGACATCTGGAAGAGCCTTTCTGCACTGACTACCCTGGGAGTCTAGAGAYTCGCTTTTGCAAAATTCAGTTTCTACTTCTGAAAACAGACTCAGATGGAGTTGCCTGTGTCATTCATTAGAGAGTCTGACCTTCACTGAGAAGTACATGAAAATGTTCAAATGCTTATGTCTCCAAAGAAAAAAAGAATCYTCAAATTCTAAATATAGACTAAAGTCATGAAATGACACCTACACAATTGCGTATGTGAGCCTGGGACAACAGTCCTTCAACAAGTGAAAAGTTTCAGGCAAAAATCTTGAGGAGGGTAAAAATAATAACATAAGTGATCAATCAATGACTTTTCATTTTACTTCCTACTCTAGTTCTGATAAAAGCACAGTGTCAGCTGATTTCACTCCATGAAGAAACAGAAGGGATCATCTGTCCAATGGGATGTAAACGACTTTTGCTTTGGAATTGCTAGTAAGACCTTATAGGAGGGATTTTAGAGATTACAGTTAGAGATTTCCCCACTCCATTGCTTCTATATTTATCCATGAGAGTTTAAAAAAAAAAAAAAAAAAAAAGAAGTACCTGCAGCAAACAACACTTTGGTACTTCTTTGGTTTAAAAAGGTGTCATGTCTGGTAACTGAAAAAAGCATGGAAAAGCCATGGGCAGAGTGCTGCCATTATTTTAGGCGAACTAAGTTTTTTTCTTAGTTCTGATTTTATTCTTAGTTATTCAACAGCTGTTGAACTTCTTCARGTCCTACTGAAGTTATTTAAATCCAGAGGGCAACATTGCCCATAAGACAGAATTAGAGAAAACAAAACAAATAAAGAGAATGTGAACGTGGCTTTTTCTCATGGTGACAGGCTTATATATCAGTCCATATTGTAGTCGAGTACTTCTCAARAGCAATGCTAGGATTTTGAAGATAGGACTTTCCTTATCACTCACCTGGGAAATGCAGACCCTGAGAAAGGTATCCAAGCATCACTTCCTTGTTCATTATGTGCAGTATTCTCCTTAGTTTGATTAAGATATCATAGTATAAAATATTTACTTAGGTTTTTTAAATACTATTAAGGCTACACAAAGAGCAAGGCCACTTKTAGAAGCCATTAATCTTCCTTACACCCAAACCACTAGACAGGTGTGTACTTTCCTCACAGACCTCCTGTTTCACTGTCAGGACTGCTGCTTTTAATCAAGTCACAGAAGTACTCTCACATCAACAGGTTACAAGGTCAGAAGAAGCCTCGTAGCTTGCTATGAAGGAGTGTGGATTATGAGACAGAAAAGCTCTTGCTCACAGGTGCTTATTTGTCAATATAATCATTTTTGTTTCTACTTCAGAGAGAAGCCAAGATGCCAAGAAGGAACAAATGAAAGCTTTCTTGTCAAGAAGGTATTACAAGGGATTGTYTCTAGCACTTGTATAGCAAACTAAATATGGCTGCTAGCTGGGCTGTTTTTTTTGCTGATCACCTGCAGGTATCTCTTTAACACAGCAAGTTGCTGGACTGAATGTCTTACTTCATGTCTTACTGTTGTTAGCCATTGAACAAAACATGTTTCTGGGTTGGTGTATGCAAATAAAATTGTATGAGTAGCAAAGGATAAAAAAATATAAATTAGATGTCTTTCTGTTCTCTGCCCCCTTTTCCACCTGTGTGAAACATGCTTTCAAACTCCAGTCTCACTCTTCAGAGACCACTAGAATATCAGAATCAACAATGAATGCATGCAAAATTTTTAAAAATGTTACTTACATATACCATATGTGTTTCTGAATATGTTCTAGCTGTAAAGGAAAAGAAAACAAAGAATTAGTGCTGTAAAATAGAAAAGGTAACTCTACAAGTCATCCTGATTTAAGGCTTATTCAAGTAAGTCCAAAATTTCAGAGATGGATCTGTGCATACAACAGGAATTTTATGCTGCATAAAGATCTGCTCTTCCTAACCCATCCCACAGGAAATGAAACGTTAATTCCAGACATAATGCACCAGTCAGGAGGAAATCCCAGGAAAAGACAGGAAAAGACTGAGTGAAAGGCTTCAGAGACAAGTGTTTTCGGAATTCAAGATTTTCTCTTCCCAAGTCCTTCCTCTATAATCTAACTCCTTTCTGTATGTACATAATAACTGATCCTTTAWGCTTAAATTGCACTTCTAGTTTTGTTTTGGAGAAAAGAGAGAGGAAGAAAGAAGAAAATAGGCTCAAAAAGATAATAAAAATGATAACTTGAGCATCTGTAGTGTGACCTTCCTGGATACAGGACATTCTCGATCCACTTCACATTTATCATTAAAATCTAAGGACTAAGTAGAATAATGTTCTATGTAAATACTAAYTCTGCACCTGAACACCAGACCGCAAATTTATTTTACTTCTCTCTTTCCGGTTTCCCACATGAGAATTTCACCATGCAATGAAGGACTGATTAAAGCTGAAAGTTGCCTTKTCTGCCTGTGGAAGGCAGATCCAAGCAAACGTCATGATGACATATTTTCCCACAAGCATGGGAAAAGAAAGCAATATGCTTTTTCCAAGAGAAACCCTTAACAGCAGAGAGAACAGAAGGTTCACATGACATACTTACAGCAGAACCTTCCTAATACATTTTGTTTTAATCATCACAGCAGAAAAGAACTTTTCTTAGATGTCCAGGGATTATTTGTAATGTGGGCAATGTTTTTCATATTCATCACCAGGCAGCACCTTTGTAGATGCAAAACAAAACAYACACTCACTGCTCATGGGCTCACATTTGTGCAACAAGCAGGGGAAAGGTAGGAGAGAACTGAAACTCATATGAGAGGAAATCACAGGCCCATTAAAATGGTCAGGAAGAATGGCAACAGCTGTCCTGTGCTTATTACACTCCACTTCCAGAATAATAAGAATCAGAGAAAACAAAATTAAAGAAAAAAAAGGAACAGGCAAATAACAAAATTTCAGACCCACAAAGAGCAAGGAATCAGAGACCTTTGTGCAATGGAACAACAGCTCTGTGTCTGGGAAACCAGTAAGAGGTGAGTTTGGCTCTGTATAAGATAATTTTTTAAGTGAGTCRGGGCTTTTCCTGAAAACAAAGCAGCAACGGAATACAGCTTAGAAGAGCATGACAGGAGGCTGCAGGGAACAGTGTGGGAGACAAACAGCCTCCTTTAAAACCCAGGCTGTAGCAACACTGCAATAAGAGGTGCAGTTGGGCACTTACATACCTACATGACTTCTGCCCAGCACCAATGCCCCCAGCACACACATCCACTGGCCCAGGCAGACTTGCACAGCTTCCAGCTKTGGCCTCAGCCCTGCCACAATAACTCCCCTTCAACACAACTCCCCTGCATTAGGTAGTCCTTTAACCCCTGCACTATTAAGAGAAAGGTGTAGTATTCCTGACACATGACCACATCCCACTGAGATAAAGATATGATTATGGAGTCCCCCTACCAGCTGGAGACACAGCCCTCTTCCTTCTGGTYCTGTGCAAGGTGAGGTACAATCACAGAACATAAGAAGAGCCTGTTTCATGCAGCTTCCATGGGGCAGGATTCTAGCACTGTTCCTTAGCAGGCCTGGAGTTCAGTGAGGATCTGCTAAGGGGTGTTCTGTGCTGCCTAYGCTGGTAAAACCACTCGTTATTTCCCATACACCACATGGAGGGTTAGAGAGACTAATGATTTCAGACAAGATGCAGATGATACAGCTATGCAATGTCCAAGCCTCTTTCATGCTTGCTTCTCCTGCTGTATTTTCTGTCTCCATGGGTCACAGTGCTCTTGTGTGCCTGTGCTATGCAGAAATGCCATGGCAAAGCAGACAACAGCACTTCACTTTCTGAGTTAGAGAGGGGAAAGAAAAKAGGTTCACCAGCTCATATCTTAGTCACAAAACCTCCGGGCTCCTTCAGAGAAGATGTCAGTGAGAAATGCCTTCTGCCCATCCCTGTTGATCAACTCCTCCAAGCTAATGAACACACAGCATTTTTCTGAAAGAGAAGTCCTGCTGCACCTTGATACACATTTGAAGGTGTACGACAGCTCTCATGGCTGCTGTTCATATGCACAATCACATAAAAACCGTTGCTGTGAAATATGCTGGGATATCCCAGATATGAAAAGTATCCTACAAACCCATTTTCTATGCTGATWCAAATGTAATTGCATTGAAATGTTATTACAAGTGTGCTTGCTGCTGCCAACATCTTCACTACTGTTTTAAAGGTAATTAATTAATGCTTTGTTGCTTTTTGTCTGCATTAAAGTGACAGGAGGGTTATGGGAGGGCGATTGGTTTTGACAAGGAGAAGTCTGTACGCTTTTTACTGTGCAGTGCAGGGGAGGCAGATACAGTGGGAGCTAATCTCACTCCTGCCTTCATTTAAACACAATGTTTAAATGCATTTAAGTGACGAAGGCATTTAACAACCCTTCCCWGAGGGGTTTTTCTTGCTGTTTGCACATGAGTTTGCCAAGTTTAATACCATTTTATGGAAGTTGTAAAAATGCTGCTTCCTAATGTCTCCTAGTCACTGCAGGCAATTGTCTCATGACATCATCTCTGAAACAACAAAACATGCTCAGATCCACTGCACATGCACAGTCAGAAAGATTTCTGCACGTTAAGATGCTGTAATGGAAGGAGAGGKAGAATTCCTTTATCATGGTTTTATGTAAAAATAGTTCCAAATATTAAACATGTACACTGAAGAAACATTGAGGAGCCCCTCTCACAGACGAGAGACCCATTGTGATACAGAGCTGCACAAGCTCATCAGAAAAAGAGGTCTCCTCCCACAAAGAGCTTACGTCTGAATTCTAAGGCAGGGAACAACAGATGGAGACAGACAGGCAGATGGAAAACAAGACAGTGCTGTCTACATCCTCACCACTGATCTCAGCAGAGCGGTTGCCAAGCTAAAAAGTTCTGACCTGAAGAAAAACTTTCTCAAAGTCTGCAGACATAGATGAGGGCTTCTGGGCTTGAACTCATGTCAAATTGCAAACTTCCCTGTCCAGAAAGGGAACAGCCTCAAACCCATCTGTGCRCCCACACCTCAACTGAATTGCCTCATCCAAAAGATCCCCTAGTCTGAGCTTTAAACTTACTGTGTACTGTCAAGATAGAGGCTTCCCCTGGCCACAGGGTTCAGGTTTCAGTACAAACAGCACTGGTAAAACCACTACCTGTGTCAGCAGTAGCAGCCGTACTACAGCAGCCTCCAGGGACCTTGACAAGGGCAAGTATCACTGTCCAACATGCATGGGGCATGAACAGGCCATGGAAAGCCAAAAGCTTAAAGCCTAACTATAATATCTGGACAATTAACTCCATTCTACAGGTTGTAAAGTCAGAAAATTTAAGTGATGTAATAGGGACCTTACCACAAGACCTCCTACAAAAATGAAGAAAGAATCAAATGAGTTTTTCCTTCTTCATTCTTGTAACATTCTTTAGATGCTGTATYCCATCATTAGCATACATCACACCCAAGGAAAAACAAACTCAGAGAGCAGAGAGGGGATTCTGAAAATATGTGTAATTCAAGGAATATTTAGGAATATTTAGTATCTTAATTTAGCTTAAATAATCCTTCTCTCCCTAGTAATTACCTCTAATGAATATGCAGACGACCAGTACAACCTTTCTTARACATCATCTGTGTACATAAACTGAAGCTCTTTTAGGCCATAATATTCAGGCAGACTTTTTCAAATGCTGATCATCTTTGTACTCRTTCTTGTTTGATTTCATCTTTCATAAGTATGGGTGGTTCAGAAATATGATCACCAGCAGYTAGGATCGACTTCTGCAGTTTGAAAGTGGTCAAGGATGTCCCACTAACCCTATTTGAGGCTATGTAACACATGGTGAGTGTGAACAATATTCCATTGAGACATAATGGAGTCTTGTTCCCACAAATGAATCATACACTAAGAAAGGTAATGCTTGTTTCTTAAGGCTGGAAAGGCCCAGCAACAATAATTCTGAGTACCCTCCCCTCTACTAATCTTCTAAAGCTCTAACACTGAAGCAATTGATGATAGTTAAACATGAATGCTTAAACGTGAATGCTGGTTCTGTTTTTGTTGATCATTTTAACAGATGGACTGGGGAAGGTGTGGGTGTGCTGTGAAATGGCAATTACTGCAGGGAGGGAAATGCAGTTGGAGGAAAAGAGATACAAATAAAAAAAAAAGGAACAAAGCAGAGAGGGGAAGTGAAAAATGAAAGAAAAAAATTCTAGYGACCTTACATTTCACTATATTTTTCTGAATTCACTAGTGAGATATTGAGCAAATGATCAGTAATGGTAACAGCTACATCTGTACTTATTGCACCCAAGCCACAATTTTGCTCGCATCTTTGTATAAATATAAAATTGATTCAAGTGAGATATTTTCTAGGAATAGAGGCTTCCAAATAAACCCATATTTATACCCTTTTTCACAGGACACAGCCAAAATAGAATTCAGCTCTCTCCTTGGAATGAACTCTATATTCCCAGCTCTTGTGCTGTAAACAAAGAGCTCCCTTCTGCCTGGCAATCAAAGCAAGCAGCACACTAACAGCATAGGAGCGTGACAGCAGCAGGGACAGTCAACTCAGAGACCCTCAAATAATGAAAATAAGACTGCAGCTAATAACAAAGAGCTATCCTTTTTACCTCCCAGCCCTCAGCTCTTTAATATGTATTATTTCAAATTCTTATTCATAATTCAGTGGTTAGTGCTTGCCAATAACTACCTGATCTGGGGTTTTCTTCTCCCTAAGGAAGTAAGAGGTTAATTTTGATCAAGAAAAGGAGGGGGATGGGCATCACTCTGAGACCTTGAATTACCTCAACTGCTTTCTCTGCTATGCGTGCACATTCTCTGCTGTATTGCACAACTCAAAACATTCAGGATCTATGTCTGCCCTGTGAAGAAACTCAGAAYAATCTGAAGAAGGATCTAACACTTGATGATCTGCTTCCTAATAAACTCAGACCATCGGCATTAACATATTGGAGAAAAAAAAAACAACAAACCAACAGAGAAGCTGGTATGTTCACATCATGGAAAGGAAGGTAAGCTTGAGAGGGACTTGGTGACTTTCTTGGCCATGAAGAAAAGCTSTCTGAAGTTTGGGGATATTGCCCTAATCTCTGCAGTGTTCCTTAAATGAAAATATTGGTGAAAATGTTATTTAAAAAAACATGTTTTAAAAAAGGCCTTCTAAAGTGGCTAGTATTTTTTTTCTATCAGTGCTATTTATGTACTGCAAATGTGATGGCTACTGGGTTTGCAAATGTAGGGATACTAGTAATAGCATGAAGAACTCCTCCCCTATGCCACCAAATAGAGTGTGACCTGGAYTGGTAATGAATGAAAGAAAAACCAGCTGTCAGGTAACACTGTAAAGAGYCGTGACAGGAGTTTCAGTTAACTTCTTGACAGGGAGGTGTCTGCATCTCAAAAACACTGTCACAGCTGGCACAGACTGATGCTGTTGTTACCAATCTCAGCAGAGAGGCCAACCAGTGATCTGAAAGTTTATTTATAAATATTTTAGCAGACTGAAGAACCAGGAGGAGTTTTAAATTTACATTTCTTTATACATACTCCCACTCAGAATCTGTGAGCTTAGTAAATCTGTATAAAATCGTCACCATGGCCTGACAATAGGATTTACAAGGGCAATGTACCCATAAAGGCACACGCCTCCACTGACAAGCAGGCAATCTTAGTTTCCAAAATTATTTTAATTGCCTATGTTTTTTAGTGCCCTAAAACATTAACACAGTGTTAATGAAGGATACAGTCATTACACAGTCGTCACCCTTGCAGGGTCTGTGTTATAGTGATGGGATGTATCCTAGGTGCAGGCTCAGGGATGAATGCCAGGAGCTCAACACTGAGCCTAACAGTGCTCAGGACCACAAGGCACAGGATGAAAGAGCAGACTGGCAGACACTTGTTCTGAAGCTGCCAGAGGGTAATGCAGAGCAAATGAGGGATAGAATACAATGCAGCTTGCATGGTGGGAAGTGAGAAGCCAACACTTCTGTCCCAAATGTAAGAAAATCACACTCTATTTAATGGCAAAGCTTCAAATACCAGTCCTAACACCTGAGACCTTCAAACACTTACATCAGGCCCCCAGCAAACTGCTGGATCAGACAGCTCAGGTGGACTTCAAAATGTGTGAATGGGTCCAGAGTTCTGTGATGAGCTATGAGGGATTTCTTCTAAGTGCCCCAATATATTACATATGAAAGGGAATCATGAGGCTACAGAAAAAACTCAAAGGCAATCTGTCCTCATGACTCAAAAGAGAAGGTAACTAACTTCTTCCCAAAGACTCCACCAACTCCACTCCTTTGCTGAGGAGGAAACACACAGGAATGCTAGTAAATCACCAAGTTACCTCAGCTGCTGAACCACTGCTGCAACAAGCAAGAAATGAAGCCTTGCTCACAGCATCGGCAGCAAATGCCTCCTTACCGTGAGACGTTTCGAGGCATCCACTTCAATCATCCCCCGCAAAAGGTTCTGACAGTCAGGGGGGATAAAATGGGGCATGTGGAACACTCCACGTTTCACCTTCTCCAGCAGTTGCCGCAAGTTGTCGTCATCGAAAGGCAGGGCACCCTGCAGGGATGGGACAGMGCAGTCAATGGGAGTGAATTGGAGAGGGCCAAAGGAGGAAAGCCAGGATAAATATGTTGAGAGAATGGAAAAGAGGAAGTCAGTTCATAGTGAATWACACTAATGAGTGAAAAAAACTTYTTGTTCATTGAAAATAAATAATTTCTTAGTGCTGATGTATTTCCTCTAACATAGGAAACAAAACTGAGGACAYTGTTTTTTCTACTAGACCTTTAATTAGAAAATGACTACCAGTATAAAATACAAAATATGAAATTGCCTTTCCAGGCAAATTCACCAAAGATGCATGGATTCACTTAAATTCAGCTCAAGCTTTTGATCTGCTGGTATTCCTCCTGGGCATACTTTCACAGCAGCAATGTTTATCGTCTCCTTATTTTTAATCTTCTTGAGACACATTTATTGCAGACATTGAAAAGGAAGTGAACCGCCTTTGAGAGACTTTCAGTAAAGAACATGCTCTTTCTGATGGAGCATTGAAATGACACAGCTGAAAGAAACCCCAACCAACATCAGCCTTTGGAAGCAGCAGACATTCTACCTGTTTAATATACTCCATCCAGTTCCCATGCTGTGGTCAGGTCATCAGTTCCTATTGCTTCCCTACTGTAGCTCACTTACATGAATGGCTTGAGGTTTTTTTACCTGAAACTACATTTTGAATAGATCATCAGCTTGCCACAAAAAGCAGTAAAAGACCTATCCTTACTGCAATGACAAAAAGGAAAAAGAGAAGTTGAAATCTTTAGGATAACTCTACCGACTGAAGCTGATATCCATTTATAGCAAGTCTGCACCTTCCTAGATATTCTCACTTCCTTCTTTCACTGCCTAATTCTAGCAGGTGCCGAGCTTTCTTGATTTCCAGGATGGTTTGTGGGAAGCTGCAAGCTGTCAGCTGCTGTGATAATGAAGYTTCAAGTTGTCAGCACTGGCACTGCTCTTACTACAGCGAGTAGTGCATCTGTATAAGCAATCCTATGTCTATGGTTTAGGGACACCAACAGCTCCATGTACAGCATGGACATACCTGATGGCAACCATGGCTGGGCACTGCTTACTGGTGTTTTTTCATTCAGGTGACCTTGAAGGCAGAGCCTCCCTGCCTYCTGTAACCAACCTCCTGAGTTACCTGCATTTTTCCTAGCCACTCCAGACTTAACGGAAAATCAATTCTGATAGTTCACTTCTTTGGCTAATGCAATTTAAGCCATGATGAAGTCAGAAAGGATGCTGCATGGCATTTCCTGAAGGTAACAACTACACCTCTTTTATTACTACCATCTGCTATTATTTCTTGAGAGTTTTTGCAGGGTTTGTCCTGACATAATTAACTGGCAAGCTCTGCACTYTCCATCAATAATAGACTGATTTCAATCATTTTTCAGGCTCGTGTGTGTAGGAACAGATGAAGATGCAGCAAMAGACACCAAATCTTGACAGAGAATCCCCCTGAAAATGAAAAGCCTGCTCCTACAAATCCTAACCATCTTGACACATTCTCTCTTCTGTTCTTACAMATTCAAAAAGTTATATTAAGAGCTCATTATACAGTTCTGTTTTATCAGCTATGAAAGTAACTGCTCAGTAAGAGATGACCAGGTGCTATCTAGTGTGACAGTTAAAAGTCTTCCCATGCAACATCAAGATAAAAAACTAAAACTTTAAATATGTCAGTRAATTGCAATGACTAAAAAGAAAAAAAGAGTAAGATTGGTTAAGGGGAATTAAAGCATCATACTTAGATTACTTGAAAGTATTTTGATTTGAGCCATTAAAAAAGAAACAGCATATTTTTTGATACAAAAATTGTCTAAAATATTGAAGCATTTTAAACAAAAATAACATGCAGAACCTATTTCTTATTTTACACTATACAGCTGCTTTAAAAAAATTAAGTGAAGCGATTAGGTTTACTGATAAATGTACAAGAATATAAAAATTTTACTCCAGGCTTGTTACTTTTATAATTATAGATGATCAGCTGAACTATTACAGATATAAAGTGCTTAACATGCACATAAAACCTATATTCATATAGAGTATTTTATCTGCATGTGGTATATGCTTATATTAACATAAACTATATTTTCCTACATTATATCATGGAGATTGATAACAAATGCCAAACCTATCTGCCTTCAGCTGGACATCCAGTTGTTCTGTGTTTAGGAGTGTGATAATATCACTGCATTTCAGAATAAATTCCACAGAGAACTGAAACTCTGATCAAAAGAAGGGTAAGTTACAAGATACCACATTTTGAACACTGAAAGTATTACTGAGCCAGATGGAAACTAATTTAAACTTTGTACTACTGGCTCAGTTATATATTCCCAATGTGCACCAAATTAAAAYGTAGCTCACTGCTTGCATGAAACAAAGATGAGGTACTCAAGTCTTCTCTTGAAAAAATACTGTGGTTAACATATGCATATACCTGCTGAAGCACATATATACATACAGCAGAAAAACAAGAACACATCCCAAACMCAGCCATATTTTGATCCTGTGAAGGACAACTTGTTTGATGCTCTCTATGCTCTCTGTATGCTGGAGTTGTAACCCTACACATCCTTTCCCATCAMAAAAATGTGGTGCAACATCACAACACAGCCAAGAGCATTTATGAAGGCAAGTTTTTGATGCCTGTCTATGCTCTCCTGTGCAGGGCAGCAGAGTTTCAAAGAAGCAGTGAAATATTCCTCATGCTTTTCCTTTGGGGCTGATGTAGAAATAACAGGGAAGGATGCCACTGAGAGATACAAAAATAGAGCACTAAAAAAAGCCATCCRTACATGATGTCAATAGAATTGCCATTAAATACAGCAGCACTTTCAGATTTTTCTTCTCTTTTTAAAGGCTAGTGCAAGGAAGATGACTCACCACTAGCAACGCAAACAAAATGACTCCGCAGCTCCAGACGTCTGCTTTCCTTCCATCATAYTTTTCTCCCTGCACAGCAACGACACAGAGGTTCAAAAGACCGATCAGTAAAATAAATTAATTATCCTTGAAGGACAAGAGAGGGGAGAATGGGAAACACCACGTTTCAATTCAGCTACCTGCTTCCCAAGGTGGCTTTCCCAACTAGGAGGCCATTACACACCCCACTCATGGAATCTTTGTGAACATCAGTTTAGAGTCTTATCTGCAACCTGTGAGAAAAGCCTCAGAAGTGGAAGCAGGGCAGGAATGGTTAACTCACAAATTATCAGATCTGGCATTTAAACAGAGTCAGAGGTGCATTAAGGACATCAAGAGGTGTTTTTCTCTGCCCTGTCCTTCAGCCACGTTATTTGCAAATTCATAGTATTGTCTGCACAGTCTCTCCTATGTGCTTCCTGCTTTACAGGAGAGACATGCTTTGGAAGAAGCAATCTTGGGCACTGAAATCTTGGATACTTATTTTCAGAAGGCAAAAGGGGGAGTAGAGGGAAAGAATACTGTTCATTGGAAACCAATAACACCGACAATAACCCTGGCTCTTCTACTGTCATGACAGCTACATGAGAGACAGGAAAGCTGAGGGGACTATATCCCTTGGGTCAAAAGATCAAATTAAGCCTGTATTTCTAGGCTCCTGTATTTCTGTCTGATCACAAAGTATGAAGGGTACTGTGAAAATAAGACACAATTATTTCCCTTATACCATCAGTGTGACTTGATTCAGGGCTGAGCCAAACAAACAAAACTGAATTATTTTCCTTGTATCCTTTCTTTTCCCTCTGCCTTGGACAGATTTCTTGCGCAGAGGGTCCTACTTGCAAACTTGCAATGAGGGACACTTCAAAAAATGTATTTATGTACACTAGTATTAACCAACTTACCCGGATGACTTCAGGACAAGCATARTGTGGTGATCTGAAATACAAAATACAGTCAAGTGAGTATGTAACAGCCTGGCATTTACGGTTATGTGCATTTCCATTTTGTTTAGCAGAATGATGATAGACTTGCTTATACAGAATACAAGTGTGCAAACCAGCTCGTTTTTCCTTACCTCAACAAGAGCACATTTCTAACAGGCTCAGAAAATGAGCAAGAACCAGCATAGCTTAAAACTCTATGGCCCTACTATAAATTTCTTAAAAGTGAGGAATGAAGAGAAGACCAGAGAAATTCTGTGAGTGGAGAATTCCAATTCTCTAATCCTACCTTTTAACTTGGCCTTGCATCTAATTAAAGGAAGGCCCACACAGCAAATCCTTTTACAGGAAAAAAGACAGATGCATCCCTAAACCATGTCTTGTATCTCTTCTGCTGACTCTCATTTACAGCAGTGGTCACAAAAGCTGCCAATACATGATTTCAATTTGCCCTTTTTTGCTTAAAGAAACTAAAAAGGATGGACAGTAGCACTATTACCTAGTGAGTTAATATATTCYTTTCACATTCTTCTAGATATCTCTTGTTTGAGTCCTGGCTGAGAAGAGTTAATTACTTCAACTTACCAGGTAATAATTTTAATTCCTAAAGATTATAGCTAAGGCTATTTATTTTATAGCCTTCATTAAAGTAACTTGACAAGTAAAAGGGATGCAAACTGTCTGAAACCCGTGTGCAAATCATGCTATTGTTTATACTGACACGTCCCAGCAGTCCCTGAGCCTGTCTTCATTTGTGCATGTGTTTCTTGTGACAAATGCAATCATGGCTGGGCAATACCTGTCTCACAAAGTAATGAGCAAACCAGAAGCACAGCGAGGTTAGCTTTGTGCTAGAATGCTATATTAATGCCCAGTGAGACAGCCCATTAATTGAATTTCCATACACACTACACTTATCTTATGGCAAGATATCATCCCATGGGCATGGAATGCCCTGATTTGGTATCACAGCCTTTGGCAGAGCATGACAATAAACTCAGTGTACACGTGGGAGTGCAGCTACCTTGACAGCAAAGCTTATGTGAGGAGAGAGAAATTCAGTTGATCCCTCACAAATTTTAGGAAAGGTGGAATTCAGCAGCTTAGTTCAATATGTAATACAACCTCAACCCAGTACCCATTTAAGAGGTGGGATACTCACAGGTACTCAATCCAATCTGTCTGCTCAGTAGTGCCTTTCTTTAGACTACATTTAAAAAATCTTGGTTCAAGATCCAAAACAAATAATGAAAACCAGAGTCTCCCTCAGAGAGATGGCTACTGTTGGTCATTGGAAGAACAGAAAGAATGGACTCGTATCTTAGTGGGCAGGACAGACTACGTGGGCTCTCCATGCAGCTCTGTCACTGACAGCCACGGAAACACGGACAAGGTTACTTAACATTTTTAAAAGGCACAGCTGCCCCCAGTTTGAAAAAGCTGACTAGAACCTCACCATGAGTCTACTCTTCTGACTAAAGCAAGAGCAATGTCTCCACAGATTTCACACCCCACAAGAGAGAAAGTGAGGCCAGAGTGAGACACTGAATTGCTTAATGTTATGAACATGTTCCCAAACTTCCAAAATACATTGTTTCCCATGAATTTGCCTCTTCAGAGCAAACCARTAGCTGCACTACACCTATTCCTTTTAAAACCCCAAAGTCTAAACCACAAACAGTTACAACACTGGACTAACACATGATTTTGCAAGCTTTTAGAAGACAAATTATTCTTGCGAGAATGCTTGACTAGTGATGTTGTCTTTTTCTCATATCTAACAGTGCTGTAGAGGGTACAGGCCATCCCTAAGGCACACACAAACCACAGGCAAGGATCAGCACCACAACTGGGACTGCAGCCCAGGCCTGACAAGTACAACTCTCACTAGTGCCGGACTGCTTAGACACTGAAAGAGAGCAGTGTGGGAATGGTAGGSAACATAGTAATGCAATTAGAGTTTGAAAAAAAAAAAAAATGGTAGCAAAACCAGTACAGGATTAACATAGATCAAGGATATTTGCTCAGTTTAGTCACCTCAAAAGAGAAAGGTCAGTTCTAACAGGGTCTGTATAACTGAGTCACATTAGGTTTATAAGAAAATATAAGAGGGGTAAAAGGAGCGAAGAAACGATCTGAGGTAACTGCTGAGCTCCTGTCACTTAGCATTTCTGAGTTTCTCACTTTTGCACGTATTTTAGCTTCAAGGTAGAGCTGCCTTTCTGTGAGTCATGAAGACACACAGTACATTAAATGGCTACTACAGATGGTGTCTGTGGCTGAGCTTGAAACTTTAGCCAGATCTCTCAAATCCTGCATGGTGTCCTGTACAGTTCAGGAACATCCTTCAGAACAATCCTTTTTGGATGGCCATAGCACCACARTGCACTGGAAGAGTCAATATCTCAGAGTGCTCAGAGTATTGCAGGGTGTTCCTGATTTTTGATTTGTCTATCATGACTCCAACAAGGATTTCAGACTCTTACTTGTGCGTGCTGAGCAATGTAACCACCTTGAAATCCTCCTGTGCTAACATCCTTAAAAAGAAGAATATAAGTGTTGTGAAGAACTCAAGACAGCTACACAGTTATTTGTGTGTCCCCCTAGCAAAAGCCCTTAAAGCATTTACCTTCCTGAGGCTTGCTGAACTCAGCGGAATGAGCCATGTATCTTAAAAGAATTTAAAAAAAACTTGAAAATCTGCAAAAGTCTAGGAGACTGGGTGCAGTAAATGTTATAATAAACCCTTTGAACAAGTTGGATTGATTCGATCATTCAACAGCTGCATTGCAACTGCCCAGAGAGCACAGGTTTCTGGCATTGCCATTGTGAATTCTTGCCAGCACYCACTAGCTGGATATCTGCAGCATTATCGTGGCTAACAGCTTTAAAAGGGATCCTCCAGTCAGCCAGAATSCATAAAAACCTCATTTCCATGCTACCAATCACAGAGCAACTTCAACTGCTCTAAAGACAAACCTCAAATTTAATCAAAAATCTATTTATTTTTCTACAGAGTCATGAATATTTCTTCGGCTCTTATCACTAATTATTCAATATAGATGTGTCAAGAGCAACATTCCCTGTCTCTTCCCCTAGGCCACCTCCTCATCATTCTGCTACATCTCTGTGCAGCAAAAGCCCCTATCTGCCCTTGATAACAAATAAATATATCGCTCAGCAAGATCAAGAAACAGTTGCTGCCTGTGGGTACCACTGCAAAAAAACCAGCATCGTTGGCACTGTTTATTTCCAGGGTGATGTGGATTTTCCAAGGCTAGCCTGCCTGAGTCAGGAAGGGCTCTCTGAATGGTCATTCACAGCTGTGACGCTACGTCACAAAAATCTTAAGGATCTTAGGGGACCTTAGCAAAGCATTTACATGGGATCCAAACCAGAGGAAACAAGACAAGAGAGAAATGGTGAAATCCAGGACAGCTCTGGACAGTTAAACCAGGCATTTAGAAAGCCTCAATGTATCTTTTCTGAATTCCACCTGAGAAACTAGAAAAGTATTTTTTTGATCTGCGCACAACAAGATACTGTACAGCTGCAGTAGATCTGAGACAAACAGGGCCATATCTTCAGCACAGATGTGATGTGCCTGTGAGTTACAGGATTTTTTATGTATGTAAGAGAGACCTGCACAGTGCACACACAAATCCATTGGGCACAAATGGTTTATCTGGGAACACACACTCAACTCACTGCTTTGCCAGAGAAGAAGGAACAGGGAAAAGAAAGACACAGGAGATCCTGCTCCACAGTGTGACATGTRTTACACTGCCTAATGGGCTCCCAAGTCCCATCAAAGATGAGTGTCTATGCCTCAGTCCTTTGGTCTCATGCCTTAAGATGGTACTATCTGGGGAAGAAGAGAAGCTTCTTTGAAAGCCATTCTTTAGGCCTCATGGACAGAGGCAGAGTGCAGAGAGGGAGAAACAAGAAGTCTCCTTTCCTCTGCTTTTCTTATGCATGAAGTTACCTTGRTATAGGATGTTGTAAAGCTGCAGAGAAATCCTCACACATCTGTCTGGTTTTGCTGTTGCTCAATCCTAGAGTCCTTCTTTCCCCTCTCTTAATCACTGTCTCCAAGCTCCTTTCAGAGGCAGGAGTTATCCACTAGAGCAAAAGGCTGCCTCTGCTTTCCCCCCATGCTGGGCAGCAAAGGGCTCAGATGAAGGGAAAGACCAGAGGAATAGCAAAATAAAGGGAATTCAGAAGGACACTGGCATTCCAACTAGAGAAAGTGACAGGCACAGATCACACAGAAAAGAAAGACAGGGAGAGACTAACGAAAGGATCCAGCAGCAGTGGGTAGTTAAGGCTGCARTGAAGGTAGGAGCTGCAGGTAAGGCTGCAAATAAAGTAGTGGGAGTAGTTAAGGCTGAGTGCTATATTCTGGTACAGCTTGAACTCAGTCATTTACCTTTGGGTGAGAAAACTCAGCATCCAGCCCTCAGCCATCTTACAGCTGTTTGCTCCTTGAGTAAAATTACATTTTTGGGGACRCTGCAAATCAATTCATTAACTAATATATCAGTTCAGAATTTTAAGACTTGGAACCTTTAAGAGACCTTAATTTAAAGAATGAACCAGATCCTTGTGTTGTGGGTTAAGGCTTCTCCTTTTGTTTACTTTCTTGAGGAATTTTTCTTTCCCATTTTGTTGCTGGGATACACTGATTGCCAGGTCATCCTTTTGATGGCTGGGCGATTGGTGAAGACAAAAGAACCCAGCCCCACCCAAAGAGTCTCCCTAAGCACTTCTCCTGCCTGGTGGTTTGTTTTTATTTTTTCTTTTTTCTTCTTTCTCTCTTTGGAGAGGGGAAAGTTCTTGAGCGAGTTTTGGGCTTGGGGAGAGTGTGTGTGTGGGGGTGGCAGGAGGGGGTAGCTTCACTTCCTGCCCAGCTTGGCTCAGGGGAGGACAGTAGACCTGCTACCTGTGAGGGGAGAGCTTGCCTGCTGCTTTCTGCAGAGCCCAGCATCTCCGGTC